TAATTTAATCCTTTAATCCATCCTAACATTAGTAAGATATAACCTTATTTCCTTTAGACGATTTGCACTAAATTGAAAATTTAGTTTTGTGATTTAAATTAAAAAAAAACTAAGTATTTATCTCTAATTATAACAGTATAAGCATTAAAATTTTCTATGTCCGCCACAACTGGCAAGAAGCTTAATTATCTTAGTACAAAACTAAAAAGGTATCAGAAAAAAATGGCGATATCGACTGCAACTGAATACTGAACAAACAGTAATAGAAAGTACGAGGCATCCTGTTTATATTTATGGAAATAAATTAGATGCTATAAAAGTCATAGACAGACCAAAAATCAAAGTAGTAGTATAAACAAATAAAAAATTGAATGTAATAAAATGGAAGAGATTTTTTCATGCCATTAAGTAAATCTTAGCATAGGAAAATTTAAACTTAAAGCAATATTTGAAGTAACCACGACCACGAATTGTCAGGTACATTAATCGACAGATCAGATTTGTATAAAGGTGGGTCTGTTCTATATATTTACAAATAGACTGATTGTTGCGGCTCTATCTAAAATTTCTTAATTCTATGTTTAATGCGCCAATGTCCGCTACATTGATGCTAAGCCCTCGAGCGCAGTACGCACTTGATGTAAGCTACTGTTCAATGCAATTTTTATCATATCTACTCTAATTAGGTAATTACAGCAATTTATGTGATATTAATTTGTTTGTTAATCTTACAATTAAGTTATCAAAGTTATATAGAAGAGTTACACATCTACTGAACTTTACTAAGAAAAATACTTACGTCGTTTTTATATCGTTTTAATACTAATGTGTAAGAATACATCTATACAAACAACGTTAACTTACTAATATTATGAATGTTTAGATGTATGGATGGATGTTTCTTAGAAGATATCACCAGAATAGCTGCACGGATCTTGCTGAAATTTGACATAGGTGTAGAACATAATCTAAGGAAGCACACTATTAAGTGTTTTTATTCCGCGCGGACAGAGTCGCGGGCAGCTAGTGTAACATAAAGCTTTTCTTAAATCTTTACCTTACTCTTTGAAAGCGTACGCAATCAAGAGATTTTTCTTTTTAGAAAAAGCTTCGATACTTGCTTTTGGTTTGTTTCGGAATGGCTTCCTTCGGGCAAGTTGCGTCCGCTTCGGGTCACGAGTAATTTATGAACAAAGTGCCGTTTATTGCGCAACTTTTCCTTTTTTCCTTTACCGTGCCACCGCTGTTTATTTTGTGTTCTACGAATGTTGCCCACTTAAGTTACGAATAAAACATAAGTTTCTCAGTCATGACGTTACGTAGGAAATGTTTTTTTTTCTGTATCTTTACATACAATAAAACAATCCAGTAATATATATGCGTAGAAAATGATTCATAAATTTATGCATACTAAAAGAAAATGGAAAAATAATCTGTATAAATGGAATAATATTCGACATCTTTTAAGAATTAATTATTGTTTTTTTTTATTATAAAACAATGAGAAAAGTGTGGTCACTTTCAGAGATAACAAACCTTTTAATCTATGCCTTCAAAGATTAAGTAGCCACCTATCAAAGAGTAGTAAATCTATCGACTTCTTTTATTCGTAGTTTCGTTAAAAACACCTTGGTTCTCCATCACACCTGGTGAGTGAAACAATGACGCCATTTACGTCACCTAATGCATTCGCAGCGCACTCTGGGAGCGAACGCTAAAACCTGACGCCTCTCAGAGTCAAGTAACGCTCAAAAGCCGAAGCAAAAAGCTCACCACTATACGGTGCGTTAGGCAGTGTCTATATTCATAGGAGGTAGCGATTTATTGTTATTAATTTTGTTGGTTTTCGCAATACAGTAAATGTTAGTGAAAACGCTGAATTGTAAAATGTTAACTATCTTTTCATTGAACACTAACTTTTGCCCGCGAATCCATCCGCGCAGGATTACAAAAAAAAGACTGTTTTACATCTCAAATTTTATTAAGATCAATTGAGCCTTTCTAGAGATACCTTTTAACAAAAAGTCTTCCATCTAAACTTTCACACTTATATTATTGGTAAGATACCTGATGCCCAGAAATAACTGTCAACTAATAAAACGCTGCCGCTTATCGTTTGCATCCATCACGAAAACTGAATTCAGAAAACTCAAGTGGGCAGGTCTTTGTTATAGCAAGGCAGGCGCCTTTGACGTTAGTTGGACATTGTTCTTTTGAGCTCAACAAAACGCTGTTTAAGAGAATTAGCGATGTTGCCTATTAAGAACCCTACATAAATGCTGCTAAAAGGAAGAGCGTGTACTAACGAAACATGTGGCAAAGCCTGGTTTATAAATATTTTTTTTTAAATGGCAAAATCATATTATTTGTTAAAGTATCTCCTTTACTATATAATTTTCTAGATTACCTTTGCCGTGAAAACGAAAAAAAGCACCTCACAAGATAGGCCAACATTTGATAATTACAAATTTTAGAGACCGTGGGATTTTTTTTCAAAACATTTCCAATAAACAACTGTAATGTCCATCATCAATAAATAATACGATTTTTTAAAATTAAGTACATTGTTTTGGTGTCGATGTGCAGTTACTGTATAATTATTTTCATAGTTTCAAACAAGCAAAGACGAAAATTTGCTTGCATTTTAAAATTCACGCGCGACAAAACTAAGCTGACATTTAAGTGTTTTACGCTTTCAATGCGGATTTCCCAACGAAAAATTGTACGCGCCGCATGTAGGTTAACCATTATTCATGGAAAGTGCGGGAATCTCGGTTAATTGGTGGCATTTTTAACGAAGACAAAAACCTTCCTCGTAAAGCGAATGCGTATTGTTTAAAGAGAAACTGGGAGTTAGAAAGAGATAAAAAATACACGAGTCCTCATGTTTTCCAGGTAAAGTAGACCGCATTTCAGTAAACAGGTTTTATCAACAGAGATAGAACTGTCATTGCAATGAGGACATGACTTGTAGAATTTTAGTATAAGGGCAAAAAGTTACCAGTAAGTTTTAAAGGAAAAGATGGCATGTAACATGGGAGGTAGGAGCAATTGAGTAGTACTATTATAAAGTTAAATTGCCGATTGCGTGAAGGCAACATAATCAGAACACAAAACGCAACGAGGTCTTGCAATTGAGGTAACCATTGGTTCGTGCAGGGATAATACTAATTTTGAATATATTTTTTATAATTGTGGATTTTCCTTACAATATAGATACAGGGTGCACCCTAGCGACAGGTCAGAGCAACCATAACCGGTAGATAAAGGGCATCCTCGAGCCACACTCGAGAGCAAAGCGGCCGCGAAATAAAAACTCACCGAGAAAGTTTTTCCCGCGTTTCCGCAAGCCCTTGCCGCCCTTTTTTAAAAAAAAATATTTCTTGGCCATTTTTTCAGACACGTCTTGAGTAGAAGAATTACGTACGTTACGCGGGGCTCTTACTTTTTTACTTGTAATTTAAGTTTTTCTCACTATATAGAATAGTGTTGTTATTTCGCGCTGAATTGTTAGTTTTATTATAATAAAGGTACGCTATTAATTAATAAATAGATGTAACAAGTTGTAGACATTATTAGTAAGAATCCTTTGGCGTGAATGGCGCGCTTTCGTTACAAAGTCAAGTGTCACATTGATTAGTGACGTTGACATTTGAATAAGGCTAGTGTTGCGCCCATACACCGGCACAGTGTCGGATTTTCTTCCTAACACAAGGTATATATAACGTAACAGTCTACTCTAATAAATAATTTAAACATTAATTGACAAACAACATGAGAATTTCAAGTAATATGCTAGTATACATACTCCATAGAAAATATTAAGATTCGTCTCGGCGACTACGTAAATCTTTTCATTTTTCTCGTTTTTACTTCTCGCGTGCTACGTAGGTTTTTCTCTAGTCACGTGTCCTCAATTTGTCAATCATGACGTCATCGTATTTCGCCATTCAACGCACATACGATTTTTATATGTAGATATTGACAAATAGCAATGTTTATTTAATGATGGTAATATTCTCATTTCAAAATTATATAGAAATATTTAAAAAATGAATTCAACATAAAATCGGCAAAAAGAACTAAGCAACTTATGTGAAATCTAGTTATGTCCTAAAACCTAATTATCTTTTAAAATTAAAAATAAACTAAATACGTTTTTTTCCTGTAGTATGAATAATACTAAGAAGTCAGTAATGCCGTACTTATATTGACAGTTTCTTCAATATGTAACTGTGCCACGGAGAAGTCCATTTAATTTACATTTTTTTAATAAAAGAGGTAAGTAATGTGCCAAGAAAAAGAGCGACAAAACACAAAATTTATGCAGCTATCGGTGTTTTGACCTCATTTTACTTATTTGTAAGGCAAACTGGCAATAGGATCGCTACAGCGGGCAACACTGATTGCTTAATAACATTATATTCCCATTTAATTGTGATATTAATCGAGGGTGCATTATAAAAGCATGACACAGTATTGAATTATTCACAAGCCCTATGAAAAAAATATTGATTTACAATGCAAATGTAGTCCTTCAAGTTGGTGTCATATTAAAGAAATAAACAATTAAGTTTTTTTTTAGTTTTGATATTAATAAGAATATACAAGTAATAAAATCAAATGTAAGCGAAATCAAACGGTTAGTTTTAAAAAGTATTAATTGTCTATACAATAAAAGAAATTCTAATTCAAAACATTTTTTTTAAAGAATAGCTACCCAAAAAGTTTTATTGTTTCAAACATTTACTTAACGGTCATTAAAGCATCGAGTGCTGGAATAAACAAAGAGACCACTCCACTATACTTTGAAGTTATTTTAAAAACAAATTTAAAACACGTGGCTGTTAACAAAAACGCGCCAACTCTCAATTTGTGCAATCGTCGCACTAAACAAAATGCGTGGCCATGTGGTCATTCTCGGTCACGGCGGCGCGATTCCGCTAACTCCATTCTTCAATTTTACACCTCTCTTTCTCACTTATAGCTTTTGGTATTACCTCGTTTTAGATATTTTTCTCGCTCTCGCACGCCCGTCAGTTTTAGACAGACGCTCTTGTGAGGTGGTTGTGTCGCGCATTGTCTGAAGTCGCGTGATAACTTTCGTGAAAAAAAAAACATTGTTATATTTAATAATTTTCGCGAGTGCTGTGTAAGTGTTTTGTGTTCACAACAGTTGATTTTTATTGTGTAAAAGATGGTTATTGTTTTTTTTTAAGTGAATTTTTTGGAATGTTTGTAACTCAGGTAGTGTAACGACAAGTGAGCGGTTTTTACGGTCAGTATTATTCTTATCAACTCGCGAGTTTTAGATGTTTTGGATTGGTTTTTGATTGCATTATAATCACGATTTCATTCAGAAAGTAGTGTTTTGTACATGTTTTTTATATTGAAACTGGGTATGGCAAATACACCCGCATCGTTTCAATACTTTACAAGGATATTGACGATTGTGTTAACGGACATTTGTGTAAATAGTCGACACGTGTGAGGTAGCCTTTAGAGAACAACGTTGAATTGCTTTTTACTATAATAAATATTTTTAACTACGTAATTTTAATTAATCATACTAATCACGTACAGTTAAGATTGTTTATGCTATCAATTTATTAATTATTGTTTGACGTAGAAATATTATCTTTAATTATTTAATCTGCATTTTGCTGATAAGATAATTTTTAAAGGGATTTTTTGTGAAAGTTTGGATGTTAACAAAGATAAAAGGTACTTAATTATACTGATATCTACGATATTTATTGATCTGTTGTTAAATATTACATACAATAGGTCCGTCCTGTCTTCGCTCGAGTTTAGGTATGTTACTCAAATAGGTTCAGTAGTTTTTGAGTTTATACGTTACAAACATACTATAGTACAAATATTTTTCAACGTGGTCTGTCACTAATTCATGATGCATAATATGATGAAACTTATTTGGTAAGAAAATGTAAAGAAATTCGTTTACCTTCAACCTTGTACACATGCAGTAACAATATGACAATTTTTTCTGATGTTATTTAGCCTTTTGTTATAATCTATGGTTAACAATATACCTTTTATTCCGCCATTCTATAATTTTATAGCAATCCTTGCGTCATTTGAAAGGCGAATTATAAAGATCAATTATAGTGAAAGACATGAAGCTAGTCTCACGGCTGGCCTTTACGATCACGGATATTCAGCACCGAGTCGATCACGACTTATTTCCATGCCCGGATTTGAATGCCGATTTTCAATTTATCGATACTAAAGCGGGGAACTTTATCGTGTATGCTTTACGATTTGATATCAACTAGTGATGTGACGTCAAAATTGTGTTCGATACTTTTTCTTCTTTTTTTATTACCAGCCAGTGTCAAAGAGAGAAAAACTTTGAAATTACCAAATATTCGATGTTGTTACAAAAAAATATTACGTAATAATTATTTTTAGTAATAACTTTGTCGTCAGTTATTTTGTTCCTCCATTTACCTACATTTTGTGTAACGAAATGTTAACGTAGAAAACATTAAACAATGTGTTATGTAATTATATAGAAATAAAATAAAACAGTAAATTTTACAATTTCGAAAACTTCAATCGTATTTCGGAACGAATCGCTCAACGTGTTGAAATTATGTAATAAAACGATTTAAATATTAAGAAAAGATCAATTTGTAACATTTAAATTGGTTACCTTCACACGTATTTAAAAGCATAAAAAAAAACTTTTGTTATTGTTACTTCGATATTTGAAATTTAGTATTTATTGCCGCAAAACTGAACCTAACCTTAACCTATTGTGGACTTGGTTTACAAGTAACCAATTAGAAACCGGACTTAAAGCGCGAAATTTAGTCTGTATGTTTCCACTGCACCGAGACAAGTGTCAATAGTTTTTTCTTACATTTTCTATGATAATAACAAACACAACAATGTTTCAATGCTTGTAGCTCGTCATTTGAAACCAATAGTGTGCAGCAAACTCTAATATTATATTATCGTTTAATTTTCAAGTCTCGCGTGTTACGTTACGCTTTGGTAATGTCTCGCTTTATGCTCAGTGTGCTACAGGCCTTAATGATAATATTATTACTAATATTATAAATGCGAAAGTTAGGATGGAAAGATATTTGGTTGAAGGTATCTCCAGAACGGCTGAACGGTTTTTGATGAAATTACGGCATAGGTATAGAACATAGTCTAGAAGAACACTTAGGCTACAAATTACGTTTTTTTTAACATGACTCAGAGTTTAACAGTTAACGTGCTTTTTAATTTACCAGTGACCTAACATTAAATTAGATAGTTTATTGTCATATCAATCAGCAATAAGATACATGTGTAATAAATCTACTATGTCTTGTTTATCGAGCGTCAAGGCGTAAACAATAAGTATATTGTTACTGTAACCTGACCGTCTGTATATCTAGCCAACAATGCATCAGATTTATTGAATAAATGATAGCGCCAATTAACATGGTCATTGTGTTTGTTGCTTGCACAATTGTTACGTTAGCTACATAGATATTGATTTTATATGAACTTGTAACTCTTTGATACAGCAATTTGAAAATGAAATGAACACATCATGGGTTCAAGGCACGATATACAACTATACTAAAAGCGAATATTTCTACTTACATAACATACTACGGTTAATCGGAAAGGTGAACTAGAATATTCGAAAATTTCAAATAACATACTATTGAAATAAATCAAGACAAAAAGTCTGTATGCCTTAAAAGTGCGATTCAACATTCCATTTAAGTACTGATTAAGTTAATTAAGATAACAGTTAGTCATCCCAAGAGACGATAACTTAGATTGTGTTTAATGCAGGTTAAGTGAGGTCGTATGCTCACGAAACGTATAAGTATATAAATGCATTTTGTTTGTAACTTTAAAAGCGATTGTATTATTAGCAAGAACGAATACCAAATTTTCGGACTTATATCCATTTCATTCTCTCCTTCACTTTTCTATACCTGATCTTTTCTAACAACAAACTCTTCTGATTAAGGGCAGATGAATATGTTCTCGTTTGCTTTTAATTTTATTGTAACAATGTATTAGTTTACTTCACCGCAAATGATACGCGGTTAAGAAAGACAGCTACGTATTAAATAGCAAGGGAATATAGAAAATATGCCTATGGTTTATTTATAAATATAATGCAAATTGAATACTTATTGTTGACGAACATTCAGGATTGGCATTTGACATTTGCCAGTGCAGTAAATGTATAAAAAAATATTATAATGTTTTTATTGTCTATGAAAAAACCACAGATAATAATTATTATTTGAATATCTGTAGCAGTAAAGAAACGCAAAGGTATAAAATAAGTTGCATGTAAAATATTAATCAAATTATTAACAAATCTAAATACAAATTAGTTTATTTGAAAACATTATTGCTTAATTACACTTTAAAAGTTTGTAAAGAGGTTATGATTTGCTTTCCCTCAAACGTAACTGTCATTGTGCCGCCATCTTTGTTTTTTATTGCTAGGATTTTCAATGTCGCGGCCGTGGATTTAAAATGGACATTTAATAGGTGTTTTAACGAACGAGATTTCTCGCAAAACCCGTTAAGCTTACAGCTGTGGGATTAACGAATTAAAGAGGATTTAATGTTTTTTTATTGTTCTTGTTCTTCCGTAATAGATGTCAAAATAATTATGACGACAATTTATTTTCACTAATTGTGTGTCAAAGGTCTTTTTCGATCGAGAATTTATCACAATGAGTATTGACTATTTACGAGTTAATCGTAAAAAAATATCGTTCTTAATTTGAATGCGTTCCTAATTTGAATTTTATTACAGGACTACAAATCGAAATTGACAATTTTTTAACGAATCCATAAGCCATGAGTATTTTTGATATTTCTTTTATTGGCAATTATATTTGACAAACAATGCATATTAGTATTAACCGCATATTTATGGCGTTAAAAAATATTTATGACTAGAGAACTGAGAAACAATTGTCCGATCGTTGCCCATTTCGATAATTAAAATGAATCATCTTCAGACACGAGATGGCATTGTTTCTCAGTATTAAAAAATAACATCAAGGTGTTGCATATTCTAATCAACATTTAGGTAGTTAATCATACTCGGTTCCAAACTTGTATGCATTTCTCGGTACTACTACCTAGGCATTAAGGTATTCTAGGAATTTATGGCGTGCGTTCTCATGTTCGTTTTGTTGTTCAAACATGTTTCGTCAGGTAACACTAACAGGAAGTTTAACCTTGGTTAAGCGACTAAGGTTTTTTATTTCGTTATGTTTTTGTGATTTTTAACCATTAACGTCTTTTGAAATGTTTTTGTTGTATTTTGTGTTGATGTTTAATTCTAATTTACATTAAATCTAAATGTTTTGCTTCAAATTGTAGTTAATAGGATTTAGAAATTAGGTAGGAAATTGCATGCTTTTGTTGTCAAATACGTTTACATTAAATGTTCATATTGCATGTCCCAATTCTATCCATTTCAATGTGTTGAATTCTGTTCCCATTCGTTCCGTTCATTCGGCCTCGTCCCAATGGCTCTCTCGTTATCTGCTCTTGTTGCCTTTTTCTCTACGTGTCCGCGGACCTTAATTGGACGCTTTAACGACTCCATTGCAGACCGACGTGACTTACTCACTTTTTCTTATTTACAAGATTTCTACAAGGTCAATTAAAGGTTATGAATGAATGACATCTTATCAACTACAATACTATTTTTTTCCTGATTTTATGCTTGAAAAGTTATTATATGTTTCTTGAATACATCTATTTTTTTTTTAGTTTTTTTTTATAGTGAAATCGTCTGGCTTTAAAAAATGAAATATGTCATAATTTAAATAAGTTAAAAGCAATTTTCAATAATATAGAAACTATTCCAGTTATGTGAATCTACGTAAGGCAAAACTTGTTCATATATTTAGTACTTAATTACTGCTAATGACTCGAGAATCTTCATAAACTGCTAGATAGTTCGTTTGTTTATAACGCATTTAGACAAGTTAATATTTGTTCGCAAACGACTAGGACTTAACTGTGAGTTTATCAAATAGAGGAAGGAAATGGTTCTCGCAAATCAGCGTT